TGTGAAAAGATGATACTGCCATAATGATGAAGAAATTGATGATAATGTGATATTGATAAGGCAATGACGATGGTGGCAATAATGATGAAGAAGATGATGATTATTGCAAAGATAGTGATGAAGACGACGATGATGTCGTAGTTGGGGTAGTCGATGATGATGTCAATGAAGAAGAGACTTAATATTATTGGATGGAAAATTGACGTTACATCTAATGTATGCTTCATTTCTCGGTTGTTGTGGTTGATGTGATTGTGATGCTGTTAGGTGTTTGTGTAGTTGTTTGTGTGGTTGTTCTTCAGTTTTGTTGGTCGTCGGTATTGCTTCTGTTGATGTTGTTGTTTTATTTGGTTGAAAATGTTGTTGTTAATGTTGTTGTTTTTCAGTGTTGTTTATGATGATATTTTTGTTTTTGATGACGTTGATGTTTTTATGTATAATATTGTTGCTTATGTTGTTGCTTATGATGTGGTAGTTTATAATATATTTTTTTAAGTTGTCGAAGTGACAATATGGCAATATTTCCGGGATAATATTTCTAATAACATAATATTTATGTAAATAATGAACTTTTATTTTATATCGTGAATAAAACTACAAATTTGGACAAAAAAATCTTAATTAGAAGCTGTCTCGAACATTATGAACTCATTTTTATTGCCTATTCGAAGTAACTTTAGTTCGGTGACGTCATTAAACTTGGTGAAATGGCAAAGGAAAAAGAGGGCAGAAAAACATCCGCCAACAAAGTAGACGCCAATAAAGACATAGAGGACGCCTTTTCGACTCTTCACCAATTGAGAGAGACTAGAACGTGATCGGGAAAATGCATATCTTCACGACCTCGACATTTAAATTTTCGTCATCATCGTCGTTGGTCCAGTCGTCATCGTCGTTTTCCTCATCTGAATTGTCATCGGGCAGTGAATATTCTGTGCTGACAAAGCTGTTTGATGAAGTGAATCTACTTGAACATAAATTTACTGAAGTTATTAATTCATTCTCAATATTAAATGATATTGTAAATAACAATTTTCATGTATGCTATGTTTGCTTTAACAATGCTTTAATGTCAATAGTTTGAATATTCCTAATTTATTAGATACAGTAAAAGTCCTCTAGAGAGGACACCGTTGGGGAATGACCAAACTGTCCTCTCCTCAAGACTCAACATCAAAATCTTTTTTGATATACTACATAAAAAATTAAAATAAAACAACACGTTTTTAATATTGTTATGGAAGAAAATCATTCATAGTTGTCTGTTTGCCGAAACATTTTGTTTTTAACAATTCAATTTCTAAAACATTTTCAATGTTCTCAGAAAATTGTAACAATTCTCTATTGCCCATATGTATCGAATAGGAAATTAGCTTCCTGGCACATTGTAATGCCATCTTTGTAGAAACTTCTTGGACTGGAGCCTCTTTTTCCTCTTCATCATCTTGGACTTTAAATTGTTCATGATTTTCAGAACTTTGTGGGCTATGGGTTGAGTCATCATTGTTATCCATGGTTACAAAATTCTCCCAAGTAACAGAACCCAAAAGGCTGGTTATGGAAGGATCAGTTTCAATCAGCTGCACATCTGTATCTATATTTTCTCCTATTCCAAAACCACACTTATTAAAACATTTTGTGATTGAAGTAGGATTAACATTTCTCCATGCCACATCCAACCAATTAATTGCATTTAATAGGTTAACAAATTTTGCTAGTTCTCGTGCTGTATCTGCTTCTTCCATGTCTGTCAAAACATGTCTCAATAACTTTTTCCTATAAATAGCTTTAATTTGTGAAATTATGCCAGCATCTAATGGCTGCAAGCATGACGTTGTTTTTGGTGGTAAATACTTAACGATAACATTTGACATGGAAATCTCTGGATGAGCAGAACAATTATCAACAAAGAGAAGGATCTTTCTTCCTAAAAAAATGTGTTAATTAGATAAGTATAAAAAATATTTATATATTTAATTTAAACGCCAAACCTTTTATTTGCATTTTATTGTTTAAGATTTGGCACCACTCTAAAAATAATCTGGCAGTCATCCATGCCCTTTTGTTCCAGCGATACATCACAGGTAAACTGTTTTTTTTCAAGGCTATAAATAAAATTAATCAGTTGAAATTTTTTATAGTTTTGAAAATATCATCTGAAATTTTAACCTTTAAAACATCGAGGATTTTCTGCATAGCCAATGACCAAAGGTGGCAATTTTTCCCCTGTCTGAGAGCAAGCTAAAAGAACAGTTATTCTTTCTTTGGCTGTCTTGATGCCTTTCCTTTTATCAGATTTCAAAACAAGTGAACGTTGTGGTAAACTGCGATAATAAAGACCTGTCTCATCTGCATTGAATATATTTTCAGGTAAAAATCCAGATGTAATCTCAGGAAGCCTTTTTTTCAATCATCAACTATTTTTTCATCAACATCAGCAGCTTCACCAGCAAGTTGTACAAATGTTATCCCAAACTGCTTCTGCCAACTTCTTAGCCAACCAGTTGATGCCATGAAATTTTCACAGCCGATACAGTCTACAGCAATAACAATAAATTTTTCCTAACAATAATAAAGAAGGTTAGAAAAAAACAAAATAAATTCTTTATTTTCCCTATTTTTAAAAAGGTTGTAAGGTAAAATTTTGTTTAAAGAACTCTAACCTTCACCATTGGTCCACTAACTGGCAGATTCTTTGACCGAGCTTCAGAAAACCATTCAAACAATTTAAAATTGATCTCTTCAAAATTCCGTTTTTCGTCTTTTCAACGTTTTATTCTTACTCGGCACTCCCGCTTCCCACTGCCTTTTTACAGATTCTTTATTTTCACGAATATTTGCAATTTGAGTTTTTCCGCAACGAAATTCTTCAGCAATTTTTCGTATGCTAACTCCATCATTTAATTTTTTCACCACCAGCATTTTTTCTTCCAAGTTTAAAAATTTTTTTCGCAGAGTCGACTCCATTATTACACAACAGTTTATCAACACGACCGCGATACAAATATTCAAATTAGATGGCGCATTTTATTAAATATTCCATGTGTTTTTGTTACAAATTGTCCGCTCTTTAAGGCATAAAAGTCAATTTGTACTTAAAACCCTGTCCGTAGTTCGTTCCTTTAAAATGTCCGTTCTTTAGGGTCTATTTAACATGCAAAACGGTTCCGTGCCAAGCAATACTGTCCGTTACTCTTATCTGTCCGTTCTTTAGGGTCCCGCTCTAGAGGACTTTTACTGTACTACAATTGCTAACATAACTGATGAAATCATCACCCATCACATGTTAAGACTAGTGATGTATTAAAAATTAACAATGACAACGCCCCTACTCTGGTTAATTTATTCACTGGTTTATCTAATGTTGAAAATAGTATACCATGGTCGACAGCTAACAAGAAAGGCATAAAACATTAAAAAAACTATTGAAGGAAGCAGCTTTAATACACCTGGTTGCAAATTTTGCAACAACTTTAAACATAAATTCTGCGACACAAAAATTAAAATTTAACATAGGCCGTTCAAAAAAAACAAAAAAAAAACAATAAAATTATGCCAGCCAAAATAAATTTTATAGAAAAAAGTATCGTTATTGTTGTTCATGAAAAGTGTTGTTTTTGTTTATTAGAGTGTTGTTGTTTATGGCATCATTGTTGTTTATGTATATATTGTTTATGATGTTAAATTGATAACCTTTTCACTCAAGCATCAAACTTAATGGTCCGAGGGTATGGGATACTGTATTGCCACATGAAATTAAAACAATCAACTCATTATACTTATTTAAAAAGAAGCTAAAAACTTTTTTAGTTAAAAAAACACTTATTTTAATTAGTTTTACACTATTTTACAACTTATTTAATTTTGATGTTCTTAGTAAGCGAATTTTTCAGTCTCAGTTGTGACTATACTGTCACCTTTAGGTATATGAAACACGACGGTATTCATAGAATGGTGTACCTGTGAGCATGTGTTTGTGTATATGTATTTATTTGACATTTCTGTTACATTTATAGTAAGAATTTGTGTGTATGTATTTATTTGACATTTCGGTTACATTTACAGTTGGAATTCTTAGTTAAGGGTGGCCTATCCACAAGTTTATATTTTTTGGTTATCCTTTAAATAAATAAATAAATAACCTTTTTTTTAAAAATGTTTGCAACTGTGTTGTCAACATTTTTGTATTTTGATGCCACTGAAACATTTTTGTTGAAGTTAAAAAATTGATCATGATGTTGTGAGTGTAATTTAGTAGTTGTTGATGTCTTTGTGGTGATAACATTGTTACTTTGTTGATTTTGTTTATGTTTGCGACATTGTTTACGTTGTGATTATGACGTTATTAATGCCATGGCGTTATTGATGTCACAACTTTGATGTTTCGCATTGCTGTTAGACTGAGTTGTTCCTTCATTTATAATGCAGTTTATCGCGATTTCGCTATGCTGGTTTTTGAGATGATGAAGTAGAAAGAGACCGAGCTGATGTTGTTAATTTTCAAGTTAATGCCGTCAATAATGTTGTTGTTGTTGTTGCGTTGGTTTTGTTGATGTCGTTAGTTTTCAAATTGAGGTTGTCGATAATCTGGTTGCTGCTGCCGCCGTTGTGGTCCTTGTTGTTGTTGTCGTTGGAGGTTTTGTTGTTGTTGTTGTTGTGGTTGTTGGTGGTTTTGTTGTTGATGTTGTTGTGGTTGCTGTTGGCTTTGTTGATGTCTTGTGGTCGATTCATAACATTGTCCTTCTCATTATAGATCTCGACATCAGTCTCTTCGACAATTTCGTTTTCTTGACCACAGTCACTATCGTTATCATCATTTACTTCTTCTTCTTCCTCTTCTTCTTCTTTTTCTTTTTCTTCTTCCTCTTTTTCTTTTTCTTCTTTTTCTTCTTTTTCTTCTTTTTTTTCTTCTTCTTCGTCTTTTTCTTCTTCTTTTTTTTTGTCATCGTCATTAATGTCCTCATCATGGAATATTATTAATGTTATCACCATGATACATCATCATATTGTTGATGTCATCATTATGGCTTTCTCATTTTAAAAAACCTCGTCATTTTTTTTGAATTAATACTCTTTATTATCAAAATTATTCCACATCGTCGTCGTCTTCATCATTATCACAAATACAAACGCTATCATAGCAACGCCCACCTAACGACACAATCATTCCACTCATCAGCATCATGATATCATTCAATTGGCCTCATTAATCATGACTTTTATTCATCACCACCATTATCACCATCGTCTTCATCATCATCATTATCATCGTCGTCGTCGTCACCATAATCAGCATCAAAATTATCATCACCATCATCATCATCATCATCCTTACCATCATCATCATCATCATAGGAATCAACGTCACTGACGTCATGTCATCATGATGACGTCATCGCGATAGTGGTCGTCATCGTGACGATTAGTGCGGCACTCGATCACGTGCCACATAATGATGCGGGAGATGCGACAATCGCCGACGTGTCTAATAAGTCTTTTTCCACTCTCCCTATCTCTTTTTCTCCTACTTTCTCTTTTTTTCTTTCTCATTCTTTCTCTCTTCTCTCTCTCTCTCTCTCTCTCTCTCTCTCTCTCTCTATTTTCCTCTACTTATTCTGTTACTTATTTCTCTTTCTTTCCATCTATCTTTCTCATTCTATATTTCTTCTTTTCCGCATTTTTCTCTTTTCCATTCAATCCCTCCTTCCTTCATTTTTTCCTCAACTATTATTTTCAATTTTCTCCATCCCTCAATCCATCCGTCATTATTTTAATTCATCCTTCTCAACTATTTCTACCAACCCTTTCCCAACAATTGTCGTCGATTGACGAATCGAGAAGAGAAAAATACCAAACGGTGGCAGATGAAAGAATACAACAACAGAAAGTGAAATCTCATAAAATGGGGATTAAAATATATTTAAATTTTTCAAACGAGGAATGAAAGGAAGTTTTTTTTTCAACTGCTTGCAAGTAATGATATATGGAAACAATGTGGAAATAAAAACAAGTCTTAGCTAAGTTGAAAAAAAACAAAAAAAAATTTGGTGGAAATAAAAGAAAAAAAGATAGATAGATAGAGAGAGAGAGAGAGAGAGAGAGAGAGAGAAAGAGAGAGAGAGAAAGAGAGAGAGAGAGAGGGAGGGAGAGCCAGAAAATTTGAAAATAAGTAAGAGATCTGACAAAAAATCGAAAAAAATTATAAAACCAAGACTGTGAGAGTTAAAAAATTTTATAGTAAGAAAGATAAAAAACCAAAATTTAAAAAAACTCAGAAAAACGTTTAAAGAGAAGAAGAAAAAAATGCAAAAGAAATAAATATGAAGAGAGCAAGGGTTGTATGCGGGAATATAACTATGCAAATATCAAGATGTATAGATGGAGAAATAATTGGGAGAAAGATGGATAGAAGAAGAGAAAGGAAAAGAGCAAGAGAGATAGACACAGAGAGAGAGAGAGAGAGAGAGAGAGAGAGAGAGAGAGAGAGAGAGAGAGAGATGATGCTACCATAGATGTGTATGATTATGTACAAATTAAAAAAATTAACGAAAAAGAAAGAGAGAAAGAGAAAATAGTGAAAAAAAGAAAGAAAAAAAAGGGAATTGAGGAAAATAAGGAAACCAAAAAAGGTAGCATAAAGTAAATGAAAGTGCGACAAAATGAATGAAGGAGAAGACACGATAGAGTAATACCACTATACCTATATAAAACACACACACCGAAAGAGTACAAAGCAGCCAAATGTAAAAACGCATTAGGCAATATGGCCTCATATGATACTCTAACTGTGGCTGCTTTAATACTTCCTTCAGTAATAAAATACTCCATTGCATGCTGGCTACTTCCATTACTACGAAGGTTAAAAGTGTAAAACTGCTTCGAAACAATTGCTTAATGTTACTAGTATCAATTTGTAAAATTGAATTACGTGATATAACCATCAAAATATAACAACAAGGACATTACCAAAAAGATATAGCCACAATGGTATAACCACGAAGATATAACCATAAAGATATAACCACAAAGATACAACCACAATTTTTTAACCACGTTAATGTAACTCTAATTGTTAATGTCGTTGCAAAACATGATGTTAAATGCTACTATTTATAATTATATTAATCCCACCAATGACGTTAACGTTCGATTACTGCTGTAATCATTATGTCAAATGTTACTATATAAGACGGTGATGATGATGGTGATGATGGTATAATTAATATAAAAAATATAATTAATAAAAAATAATTATGTAGCATTATTACTTTCAAATAATATAAAACTTTTTCCTCTTCGTTATAAATATTATTATCTCTTTATCAATAATGCGAAACCATAGAAAATTTTTGAAAACACCTTGTTAGACACTACCACACACGGGGGGCACACACACACACACACACACACACACACACACACACACACACACAGGCACGCAAACACACACATACACACGCACACACTCAGACTCACTCTCTCTCTCTCTCTCTCACACTCACAAACATACACATTAACCCACACAAACGGAAACTAATGTAAAAAAAAGTATGTGTAAGCATGTTTGTCTGTGTGTGAGTGTGTGTGTTTGTAAGTCTGTGCGTGTGTCACTATATAAGCTAATCAGTTGAACCCTAACAACATGCTCGCTTTCACACATTTACAGCACATCACACAAGCAACACAGATTTAGTCGCACGTACGCGACAAAACACATAACACATAAGCGAAGTCCCAAAACACATTAGCATTAACATCATAACACGGATATACACGCAACCGTACGCAACAAACAATTTTTACATCACGTGTATTTACCCAATAACACCATCAAATAGAAAAACATACACAATCTTGCAAACATACAAACGTATGAACACACACAAACAGGCATATAAACAAAAACATACCCAAACATATTAGTATACACATACATAAGAACACATACAAACAAACACAGACACACATTTTAGCCTATAAGCACGCACAAACACACACATACACACTAACACATTTTGGCGGAGAAATTTATTTTTACAGCATATAAGGAGAGAAGCCTGGCATGGAAATTCAATTTCCATCTCGTTCTATGTACATACACAGTATATATATATATATATATATATATATATATATATATATATATATATATATATATATTTACTTATGTATATATATTTATATATGTATATATATATATATATAACATGTACAATGTATAAACACATTATAGATATAATCGAGAATATGTACAAACGTTTTTTGCATATGTATTGCACCAGCATACAAAAATGTACACAAAGTAGGCACCCTAAATTTGTATCAAATACCCTAAATTTGTACATCCATACCATTGTTGTGGAGATAGCATCATATAAATGTGTTACGTAATCTCGTGTACGCGTCTTTGTACAAGAATTACTGCAATCATGATCGATAAACTTGTTATGTGATCCACATATGAGTAAATATAATGTTATTCGTGTTATCATTTAACATCTCTGGTGATGAGCTTTTAGGAATATAACTTTCATGAAATAATTTTTTTCATCTTCTTCTTGGCACAATTCATTCTGATGCTGATGTCTGTAAAGTGCTTAGTGGCGTAAGTTAAAAAAATAAGTATGCTAAAAACAAAGAAAAAAAGCACAGAAAGAAAAATAGAAGGAAAAACAGAAACACACACACACACCACACACACACACACACACACACACACACCACACACACACACACACACACACACACACACACACACACACATGAATATCTACCAATATACCCAAATATACAAATACTGACACATACAAGCAAACAAGAACACGCCAACACACACACACACACTAACAAACACACAAACGCAAACACTAGAATACATAAACACAAACGGCTGACCAAACATGATTGTGCCAGCCTGGCCAGACCAGGAATCAATTGTACAAACATGCAGAAAGTCACACTCCATTTCTTCACACACGTACATATATACATAG